AATAATTACTTTGTTGTTAAATTTGATATAATAATTTTATACTAAATTGATAGAATATATTGATTATTTTGAATTATATGATAATATATATATATATATATATATATATATATATATATATATATATATATATATATATTACAACTGCATAATCTTAATCGTTTGAATGACTTCTACCTACGAGTTACTCATGAATAAAATTAAATATAATATATGGTTTAATGTTATTTATAGTTGTTGTTGTTATTGTTAATTATTTTTTTTTTTAATTTATTTGCTTAACATTTTAATTTCTATCATTATAATTATTTAAAACATCAAACATTGTTTTTTGATTTTAAAGGTAACAATATAATCATTTATATAGAGTTATTTTTAACTATTGTTATTATAAGTTTTTTAAGCTACTTATTTGAAAATTTTTAACATTTATAAAAATATCTTTTGGAAATATTTTAGTTAAATTGAGATTACAAATTAGTTTTTCCATTTAGCACAACAATTTATCACTTTTAATTATTCACAAAATATTCATTGTGTTTTTAAGTGGAATTGAAAATTATATTTAAATTGGCACTGTAATGTTATATTTACGTTAACAATTTAAGTATTTTGTCCAAACTGTTCAAAAGTTGTAGCTTTAAACTGATAATGGTTTATATACAACAACATATTAAATTTAATAAAATAAGTATAATATGTTAAAAGTTAAAGTCATAGTTTTATAAGTAGAAGTATATATATTATTTTAATATTAAAATTTATCTTATTTATGGTTACACTTTAGGTTAGATATTTATTTAAGCTTATTAACCAAATCATAATCATTATTAGAAAGACACTACAACTTATCACTTTTAACTATTTACAAAATATTTTTTGGGTTGTTTAAGTTAAACTAAATTTTATATTTAAGTTGACCCTGTAATATTATATTTAAATTTATAATTTAAGTATTTTATACAAATTGTTCAAAAGTTATAGCTTTAAAATGATAATGATTAATCCAACAATATATTAAAATTAATAAATTAAGTATAATATGTTAAAAGTTAAAAAACATAACTTTATATGTAAAAGTAAATGTATTTTTTAATATTGAATTTTAGTTTATATATGATTACACTTTAGGTTTGATATTTATTTAATATTATTA